AGGGCTGCCTGGAGCAGACATGATGCTCTCTGCATAGCCTCAGTCCCACCCCTTTTGGCTGGGGTCCTGCTCCTTCTGCGGGTGCAGAGCTGTGCCTCCCCTGCCTTGCCCACAGACCCGGTGAAGCTGTTGGTCCTGCTGTTTTTTTGTAAACTTGTACTGTAATATATGTGTATCCCATGCTCTCCTCTGCATACACTTTATGTGTAGTTGTATTACCTCTATCCTTTACCCTCAAGGTTGTGTGAAACATGTTCCCGTAACCCACACACCTATTCAGCAGAAAATCATTTTACTTTTTAAATTTGATTTAGTATAAGTACATTCTGTCTTCATGCAAAGGAACAAAATTAAGAGGCTGATGCAGATGCGGTATTTTAAAATGTGGTAGCACTAGAGTAAGTGAAATCAGTTATGAATTACATTAATTCTAAATGTATCCCCCCCCCTTTTTAAGATAGAGAATTCAAATGTGTAAATAATTATAACTATTCATCAAATAGTTTGGAGAGATAATTTTCTGAGTTTTCATGAAGTGTCATTCTGCTACTAATTGAGCAGTTTCACAGCACGAATAGTTCACAAATTGATAAAGCTGAAGGACAGAAGGAGACATGAGATCATCTAATCTGACCACATTTATCTCACTGAGCACTATTTCACCTGATTACCCCTGTATAATTTTGCATTTGATGAAACCATAACCTGTGTTTTGGTTCTAAACCTGATTTGAAGTCTTCTAAACCTGATCTGAAGACTCACAAAAATGGAGACTCCACCAGTTCTCTAGCTAATATGTTCCAAAACTATTTAAACCCACACTGTTAAAAAATATGTGCATGATTTCCAATTTTAATTTGTCTGGCTTCAGTTTCGAGCCCCTGGTTCCTATTATAGCTTTCTCTGCTGTACCTGGTATTTTCTCCTTATGTTGCTACTTAGGGTACGTCTAGACTACAGGGTTTTGTCGACAGAAGTTTTGTCGACAGATACTGTCGACAAAACTTCTGTCGACAAAGAGTGTCTAGACTACATTCAGTTCTGTCGACAAAGCAGCTTGCTTTGTCGACAAAACCCTGTAGTCTAGACACAACCCAACATGCAATAACACCTTCTGTCGACAGAATTCTGTCGACAGAAGGCGTTATGCCTCGTAAAATGAGGTTTACCAGCATCGACAAAACTGCTGAGTTCTGTTGATGTTATGTCGACAGAACTCAGCGGTAGTGTAGACGCAGGTATAGTTTTGTCGACAAAAGTCCACTTTTGTCGACAAAACTCTGTAGTCTAGACACACCCTTAGACACTGTAATCAAGTCACCTCTGAATCTTCTTTTTGATAAGCTTACTAGATTGATTTCAGTAAGTCTCTCACTGTAAAGTATTTCTCCAGCCCTTTAATCACAGGTGTAGTTCTTCCTGTATGCTCTCCAATTTTTCCAACATCCATTTTAAAATATGGACAACAAACCTTATGCAATATTTCAGTGTTAGTCTAATCAATGCCATATACAGCACAATCAGCTCTCTATCTATATTTACCTCTTCCCTCTGTAAACACCTTATCCCTCACAATATTCATCCTCAGCTCAGGCCTATGTTTGACTTCCCTGATACCTTGTGATTGTGTTTGCCTTGAATTTAAAATACTACAGTAACCATATCACTCTGTGTGATTGCATTAGCTTTCCCTCTATATAGAACCCTGATTTAAAAAAAAAATGTCTAAGAAAAGATGCTACTCGCAGCTACATCTAGCACTCCAGGTCAGTGCATATCCTTTATCTTACACTAAAAACTATACTGGCAGCCAATTTCTCAAGTAAACTACCTAAAAGTTTATTAATTAAAAATAAGAAATAAATTTCACTCTGTCTGTGTGAAAAAGTGAGAGGACTCACGTGATGACCTAGATGTAGCCAGAGAGAGAGATTCTGATTTTACTTTTTCTCTAAGGAAGGCTGTATGTCTTTATTGTTGGGGGAGAGATTGGAGGGCTTTGGTTTTAACTTCTGTCTGAGTTGTGAGGTTGTGTATATCTACTGTTGTAAATTGTAAAATTATCTTAAATAGTTATCATTTACATTTTTGTTAATTCTTTCTTCTAGACTGTTTTGTCATAATTTGTTTTTAGCTTTGTGAAACTGGCCCTGAAAAATCACCAAGTATATATATATTTCTGGTTTGGCTTTTATTCTGAAAGTTGTCATCTATACATCGGACTCTGTGCCCGCGGCTACACGCGGCACGGAGTAGGTAGTTCGTGGAATGAGGTGTAACGGTATAAAACCTAATTCGAACTACCTACTCCGTGCCGCATGTAGCCGCGGGCACGGAGTCCGAACTACCGGGGATTTAAAAATGGTAGCGCCCGACAAGATGCAAATGAAGCCCGGGATATTTAAATCCCGGGCTTCATTTGCAACTTTGATTGACTACATTAACCATCCTAGTTCGAACTAGGGTGGTAGTGTAGACATACCCTTACATACTTACAGTTGCAAACAGTGGGGATATTATCTCTGAATCACAGCAAAGAAAACTCACACTTTAATGAGTATCACATTTATGATACTATGTATATTTCTGATAGTTTCTAAGGTGCCACAAATGAGGACTACTCATTTTTAAGGTTAGAGACTAATATAGATACCCCTCTGAGACTTTTTCACACTATAATATGTGATAACATTCATGAATGGGGTTTTTCTTTTTTGTTATACAGCCAACTGTGTAGAGCACAGACACAGCACTGGGTAAGATATCTGAATGAAACTTGATAGAGTTTTTCCAGATGAATGAGAGCCTATACTGAAAACTGAACATTTTTCCAAGGCTCATTTAGTGAAGCTAAAAGGCAAACTAAGAACCAATGTCTCTTTAATGTAGGATATTGTCAAGTTGTGAAATTCATTTATGCAGGAAGTCAAGTCAGATACTGACTGGATGGACTTTTACAAGGGGATAATTTAATGAACAGTTACAATATTTGTAGTCATGAAAACTAACAGAGCTGAGATAATGACAAGGATAATCAAATATTATTGTTCTGGTGTAAACTGACTACAGAAGTCAGGAATAAAAAATATTTCATTCTCAGGCATCCTCTAGCCACAAAGTCTTTCATATGATTACAATAAAATGTAAATAAATATTTCACAAATCTCTATCCTTGAATCTGGCGAGGAGAAAACTGGAAGGGAAAAGAGATCCCACTCATTCACAAGAATCTTTATTTGTTTGGTTTCAGAGAGGTAGCCGTATTAGCCTGTTCTGGTGGCACTTTAAAGACTAACAAATGTATTAGAGTATTGGAGCATAAGCTTTCATGAGCTACAACTCACTTCCTCAGATGCTGCAAAGAAAAAGAAAGAGACATGAAGGAAAAAAAATACAAAAATGGAATGTGACAACAGTGTTAATTAAATCAGAATGGCTGTGGGTACTGGAAATGATTTACTGATCTGTTGCTGTTCCTGGGAACTCTCTTCTTTGCCCTGAATATATGGTTGCTAAACTATTTATTGAAAATGGTCACATTTAGTTTATGGGCTTCTGTAGCCATCCCTTTTAAAAATTACAGTTTTACTTTTAAGCACCAGTACCAGATTCCTGGTAGCCCCTGGAGATGCTCTGCCTCAGGCCTGTCCCCACCCCACCTCTTCTTGCCCTACTCTTTCCTCTGCCCCAGGGGCCTTTGCATGCTACAGATGATTGAAGGATGCCCTGAGAGGGAAGGGAAGGAGTTGATCTGTTGGGCTGCAGGTGTGTAGGAGGGCTGGAAGGTGAGGAGCTGTCGACCAGTCAGAGCTAAAGACTTGCTAAATTTTTTCAATGAAGATGGTACTTATGCTTTTACGTAGTGTTCATGTGAACTATGCTTATATTAAATGTCTGCCTTTTTAAAACCTTCCCTTTATTACTTTTTCTGTCCTATCCTGCAGTGGCTTGATTACTTCTAGCTCTAGTGATTTATGTCCTTCCCCCTCTCTCTCTTTTCTCAGGGGAGGTTATGCTTTTCTCTCCCCCTAAGGCCATCCCTGCCTGTCACTCTTTAGTAAAACTGGCTTGTGATTGGAATGCACATGCCTCTCTCTCTTGAGCCATGCAAAAAGCTTTCTTCAAAACCTTAAAGGTACAGAAGAAGCCTTTTCAAGCCTAGGAGATGAATTTGCTGGTACTGGGCTTGCACGTGTGTACATATGGCACAAATGATTAAGTGAACTGGGGTGTGTGTGTGGGGGGGGGTGTGAATCATTGGAATAATTCTACTGCCAGACTAGGTGAATCAATGATCTGCTCTTGTACTGTATCTATAGAGGATTTTTAATACAAATATCTTAATTTTGAAGAGAAAATAATTACTGTCATCTTAACATGGGAGGGAAGGATATTAAAAATATTTGATCAATGGTGAAATCTCTCCATTTCAGTTTTTGGATCTCAGTGTGACTAAAGGATCCTTTGCGTGAACACACTGGGCAATCTTTAGTATGCCCCCACAGGGTTTAAATGGGCTGATTAATGCACAACACATTATTGTGTTATAGTAATTGCACCCCTGCATTGTGCATTACCTCATACTGGAGACAAGCCCCCAGAGTAATAGATAAGTCATTTTGGTTTTATCCTTTCTTTTATCAGGTAAAACATCTTATTTGATAGACCAATGATATTGTGGAACAGTCTGCAGCCGGCGGGAGTGGTGGCAGGTGGCCAGCGGAGCGGCTGGTGGGAACGACCGGTGGGCGGCTGGTAGGAGTGGCGGCAGGCAGCCAGTGG